AAGTTTTTAATTTGGGAAACATTCTAAATGAGGAAAGTTTCTATTTTGGAAAACTTTCTAAATGAGGAAAGTTTTCATTCTGGGTCATTTGCTATTTGAGGAAAGTTTCTAATTTGAGAAACTTTCTAAATGAGGAAAGTTTCTATTTTAGGAAACCTTCTAAATGAGGAAAGTTTCTATTTGAGGAAAGTTTCTAATTTCAGGAAACTTTCTAAATGAGAAAATTTTTTCGGGAATCGTAAATTTTTTAAGGATACGGTTTAATGGTTTAAAGTTGAACCGAAATATTAGATTCCGGTTTAGGGATTTTTGGTTGGGGTTGGGCCGAATTGATTTTCGGTTTAGAATAACCGGTTTACCCAGATTGAGATCCGGTTATTATTTTCGGAACCGGTTTGATAATCGGTTTAACCGATGAACCGAATTGATATTTGGGTTTAGGAGTTAACCGAGAATGATATCCGGTTTAGGGAATACACGAAAATTGCGGTTTTGGATATAGAAGCGGTTGAGCCGCGATTTTACAAAAGTAAGCGGTTGAGCCGCTAGGTTTCAATCGGTATTAGGGTTTATGTTTCGATGATGAGAACGATTTGAATTCGCGATTGTAGACATGCGGTTGAAAACGTTTGAAAAAACGCATTAGGGTTTTTGTTTCTCTTTGAGGAAAACAATTTGAATTTTGCGGTTTTCAAACGCAAAAACGTTTTTAGGGTTCATGCGATTTTAGGTTTTGATTTCTATCAATTTATGCATGCAATCAATCATAGAAATAATCAATCTAAACAACCTAAACAACCTCAATCAATCGATTTATATTTTAGGAATTTCGGATTTGATTTGATTTAGGTTTTAAGGTTTCAGCCATGGCTAAGTGTTTTCGAGTTTGAGAGTTAGGTTTAAGCAATAACTTTTCTAACAACTTAAACGAGTCAAGCAATCGAATCATACAAGCAAAAGCAATCACTTAATCAATAATTATCCGTTTTTAAGATTTCGCTTTGCATTAGGTTCAAGTTCGATTTTTGGTCTTTAAACTTTTAAAATTTCGTTTTTACTTTTCACCAATTGGGGTTGAACGGATTGAACCGGGAGCTTAAGACCTCGGTAACACACGCTGGGATGAACAGTACCGACGGACAGTGTCGATGAACAGTACCGATGAACAGTACCGATGAACAGCGTCGATGAACAGTGTCGGCATGAACAGTGTTTTGCGATTTTTAGGGTTAGGGTTTTTAAGAGCAAACTCGTGCTGATAACGTGTTGTAAAACTTATGGTTGTATCTTATCATTCCATGAATAAAGATACATATATATAGATATATAAATCTAGGGTTTTAGAATACATAATGAATAACCCTGATGGACTTATTGGCCCGGTTATAAGTCCAATAACCAATATGATGTATTATAACACTCTTAGGTAATTCTTCAAGGGTTTTTAATTTTTTATACCCAAAAAAAACGTCGCTTTACTCAACTACAAAATCAGCAATAACCACACAAATCAATAATCAAAATAAAAGCCCATCGAAACTTAAAAGATTTACCATTTGCTTACCTTATCCAAATCTGCTCCCACTGACTCTTCCTTCAATCTTCTCCTCTGTAATCTCTCTTCACAATCCCAAAAAAATCTCACAATCGTTTTTTTTTGCTTCTCTCTTTCAATGGACACCTCTCTCTCCCACCACGGATCTCTCTCCTTTCTCCCGTCGCGCCGCAATTCCGTTAAACAAAACCGCGGCGGCGATTGCGTTTTTCTCCCCTCGCGTCGTAAGGTCCGGTACGATTCGTTGGTGGTGGTTGCGGCTACGTCTTCGGGACAGAGCATCGACGCGCCTCTGGTTCCACGCTCGGCTCAGGGAAGGTTTCTAAGTACCGTCTTGGTGAAAAAGCGGCAGCTCTTTCACTTCGCCGTCGCTGATTTGCTTAAACAGCTTGCCGATGATAAGGAAGCTTCCTTATCTCGTATGTTCCTTAGTTCTGGTTCCGATGAAGCTTCTCTACACAGGTTCCTTTAACCACAATTACTAGTGTTTGTTGTCATTGTGGAATCGCCAAATTGTAGGAAACAAAAATCTGTAGAATAGTTAAGAAACATTGGATTCTTTGATTTTAGTTTACAAGTTTTTGTTGCCACTATGGAATTGCCTAATTGTAGAAAAAAATTTCTTGAATCTTTGGTTATATGATTTTAGTCAGTAATCCAGAAATTATGCTAATCAATGGTTTACAAGTGTTTGTTACCACTATGGAATCGCCTAATTGTAGGACAAAAATGTCTTTAGAAATGTATATTTCTGTGATTTTAGTCGTTAATCTTTGCATAAGAACGGATCAATGAATGTTAAATCGATTATATTCGTCAGTGAATTCCGCTAATTTCCAGAGACTTTTATCATATGATTTTGACGAATTCAGCTTTGGTCGGTTCGATGTTCCAGTTACTTCCGTTTTGCAGTTCATAATTTGGCGCTGATTTCAATCAAATGTTTTGCAGAAGGATAGCTCAACTTAAGGAGAGTGATTGCCAAACAGCAATTGAAGACATAATGTACATGTTGATCTTGTACAAATTCTCAGAGATAAGAGTGCCTCTTGTTCCAAAGCTTCCCAGTTGCATTTACAACGGAAGACTCGAGATCTCGCCTTCAAAAGACTGGGAACTGGAGTCAATCCATAGCTTTGACGTTCTTGAACTCATCAAAGAACACAGTAACGCAGTCATCAGTTTACGAGTGAATTCGAGTTTGACTGACGATTGTGCAACAACGGAGATAGATAAGAATCATCTCAGTAAAGTATACACAGCATCGGTCTTGTATGGATACTTCTTGAAATCCGCTTCTCTTAGACACCAACTCGAATGCTCATTATCACAACACCATGGAAGTTTCACCAAGCAACTGAGACATTACATTTCTGAGTTCGATCCCAAGATATTGCAGAGATGCGCAAAGCCAAGGTCACATGAAGCAAAAAGCCTGATAGAGAAGCAGAGCTTAGCTCTTTTCGGTCCTGAGGAAAGCAGCAAAGAGAGCATTGTGACATCGTTTTCTAACCTGAAGAGGCTGCTTCTTGAGGCTGTGGCATTTGGTACGTTTCTATGGGACACAGAGGAGTATGTAGATGGCGCGTTTAAGCTCAAGGAGAATGAGAATGCAGAGGAAGAAGAAAATAGCAGTGTATGAAGTATGAACCAGTTTGCTAGAAAACTTGAATATCTTTTTGGTGGACATTGCATATAATATATAGAGAGACGAAAGATTAAAACAGGGTCAATGGCTATATGAAATTATTTTTGTCTATGTAGTTATATGTATAGTGTATTCGTGTATAATGGATGATTAATAGAGGGATTGGTTTTGTCATTTGTTTTGTTGTTGTAGTATCCTCTCTCTTCCTATTTGTCCATGAATATATTGCAATTTCAGAGGAAAAGAAAATAGTGAAAACACTTTTATTCTGGATGTCACTCATATTTGACCAGTTTCTCATCTCTTTGTTTTGCTGAACACAAGTGGACGTGACTAGTGTTTCACTTGTGGACGCATTTTAGTGGAATGGATAATAAACAAAAAAGAAAAAGAGTGAATTTGTGCAGAGATATAAATAGGACATCTAATTAGCTAATCGGTAATAGACAATTTTGTCTCAATTTTGTCTCAGACAAATAAAAATTAAGCTTTATTAATAGTCCTTAACTTTAAAAGGATTACAAGAAAACTAGTTAGTTACAGAGTTAATGTGCCTGTGATAGCGCCATTGATATTTAGAGAAGAAAAAAAAAAATGGCAGTTTCTAAATATCTGTTGTAGAAGTGACATTTACGCGGCCATAGAAAGAAGTAGGAGATTTATATTAAATGCAAACTGACGGACTGTCTTCGATTCAGAACTGTTAACTACCCGAAAAAATCGGGTATCCTTCGGGTTCAGGTATTTTATACCCGATTATACCCAAATATCACTAAGATATTGATAAATTTAAAATTCTATTGATCTTTTTCTTTCTTTAATAAGACTTTATATATTGACACTTCGATTAGCATTTGAATTAAGAATTACTTTATGCAAGAATTCAGACAATCTCCGACGTATCTTCAGTTCCTTTAACAACTTCAATAAATTTGGTTTTGTTGACATATTTTCTCAACATAAAAGAAAACAATATTACCTGGTATTGAAATAATGTTTTCTGTTTGTTGGACAATATAAACAACAAAATACTCACACATTATATATATGTAGTTTTTGTTTACCATAAGCGGGAAAATTCCCGTATTTTACACTAGCTTTTTAGTTTGAATTGACACTAATAAGTAAAATTTTGAATTATTCGTAAAAGATTCGAAGTGATAAGCTATTACAAGATTGTTATTTGACTCATACTATTTGGATAAGTGCAAAAAATACTAGTTACCCCAATTTTCTTAACTATTGATTGATAGAATTTTACTTAAATTTAAGTTTTCTATTAGCAAGCAAAACATAAAAGATAAAGGTTTTTCTATACAAAACAAATTGGCAAGATGTTTAAGTTTTTAATGAAAATGACATTTTTTTCAAAATACTAAAAGACATTTTTTTTTTCTTTCAAATACTAAAAGACATAAAAGTTGTTTATATATAGTATTGTAAGGCATATGTACTAAAAGACATATGTATTTATACATGACTATAAAACTATCAACCAAACTTACAAAAGTATTAAAGGCTTATCGTTCAAAACGACAATCTTTGTTAAAAAAAAACCACACTCTTGAAACAGATGGAGTAATTTAAAATAAAAACTGTAAATTAAAGTTTATAGTTTCTTTGACTATCATTTATAAGAAAATATGTTTGATAAAACATTAACTACCATGTAACATAAGTAAAAGCTCATATAAATATGCTACTCCTTGACTTTAAAACATCACAACCAAAACTCAAAACGATCAACAAATATATTCCATATTTGTTTTAGTTAAAATATTGAAAATTTTATATAAAATGAAGACAATTTTTTTCTTTATAACTCTTGCAGTTTTGTTTTCATTATGTAAGTTTATTTTTGATCAATTAATATATATATATATATATATATATATATATATATAATATTGTTTATATTTTCATTAATAAGTTTTAAAAAACTATTTATAGGTACATCAAATATTATGACAAAATCTATTTCAGAAGGAAAAGCTCAGTTTTCCAACCCTGCATTAAGCCCTGATATTGATTCAGCTGACGAACATATTGCACACTCTCTCAATGACATGAAAATTATGTTTTGCCAACGATGTGCATATCATTGTATTGAGAAAAAGAAGAATATATCTCATTGTGAAAATTCTATTTGTCGTTGTACATTGGAAGATATTTTGTAAGACATTATATTTTTAGAATAATATAAGAAATAATCTAAAGTTTAATAATTTACTATATTTATTTCCATGTTTTATTTTTCATTCTAATATAAGAAATAATTAAAGTTTTGCCTTTGAGTTCAAGTTGACTTGATCTTGCCGAGAGAAGAGGAAAAAGTTGAAGAAGATTGTGTCTCGCTCTGAGTAGTGGTCTCAACGAATTTGGTTCTGACTTGTTCCTACTTAGTAATTGTTTGCTTAATCTTTGTTTATTGTGTCGTTGTGCATGTCAAAGACCCATCTTTCTTGCCTTTAACTTACAATTTTACTATGGATAATTAACTCTTTAATAGTCCTCATCACTTCTTTTTGGTAAGTTTCCATGGATTGCTTTACCTATCAATAAAGAAATAATGGACCGTTATTATGAGTTAAAAAAACTTTATATACGAAATTTTAAAAACTAACACGGAAAAATATACTAGCTAAGTAGCTTGAAGATTAATACAACGAAAATACGTCAGCTTACTTGACTTAAAATGGGCCTATTGGTCCATTTACTACTTTTTTCTCTTTTGATTTGAATTATTTGGTTTCCTGCTGAATTCGTGTATGCTCTGGTCTACAAGAAAACCTGCATTTTGAAACTACAGTTTGTGACCCATTTATTGGTCAAAAATAATCATGACCTTGTTGTGACTATTTTATGACTAATAAACAACTACACATGATTTCAATTAGAAAATGACGACTACGCATATCAATGGCAAACCCATTGCAAAAATACGACGAAAAGTTATAATCGACAAACTGTCTCATATTTGCGACTGTTATAAAATTATTAGTCGATTATATCAATGTAGTAGCAAAATAATCGTAAATTGAGATGGATTAGAGACGCCGTTTTTAGTTGGGAGTTTCAGTTACAAAAGTAGTCCCAAATTTGCTACGTATTTGTGACTTCAAAAGTTTGCACCATATCAAGTTTTTACTAACTAAATTGAGAGATCTTGTTTAAAATTCTATCATGAGTTATTGTAAAATCATATGTTCATTTTTTATTTACTATGAAGTTTTAAAATAGCATCACAAAACGGTGACACTGCGATTATTTTGCTAATACGGTCACTTATTTGCGACTATTTTGTGACGGCATTGCTACTAACACTTGAGATTGTGACGAATTTGCTTCTTTTAACCAATGGCTCACGATTTTATTTATATATTCAACCATATATAATTGTAAAATATGTTAAGTTATTCGTTTCTACATTGATGGGTCCGATTGGTAACCAAAAGCTGTTAGCTGTTAGCTGGAGCTGTTAGCTTTTCCGGAATAGTGCAAAGCTGTAAGAAAGAGCTGTACGAGAAAGCTGTACAAAAAAGCTGAGAGTAAAACTTTTTGTAACGCTTTTGTGATTGATAACTGTCAAAACTGTATACTTTGTAACGCTTTGTACCACTTTGTAAAGTGGTTACCAATCAATGCCGATATGAACTACTTTAGACATTGAATCATTATAATACCAAAACAGTTTTAATTTCCAATGTTTAGAAAAATATTTGCAACTTACATAACATTATTTATAAGTGTTACATGTGTATTTCATGTAATGTTTGTGATTGTTTTGTAATTTCTAAGTTTACTTACCATATCATGTTTTTACTTATTACACTCAGAGATAGTGTTTAGAAATTAGAACTCTAATATGAGTGATTGTAAAATCATATGTACATTTTTGTGGCCCATAAGCTTAAAATTTCATATGTATAAGACCACACGCAGTGGGGGATCCTTCTGTCGGGTGTATGTATTTTAAAATAGAGAAATATTGCAAAATGTTGTCTCTCTCTTTACATGTGAGTGTAAGTTTATATGTGAGTGTAAGTATTAAAATAAACAGAAATATTGCAAAAGTCTCTATCTCTCTCTTTTCTCTCTCTTTTCTTTCTCTCTTTAATTATAATAATAAAAAATTATTCACACTCACACTCTCACTTATCCCATTGTGTATGCCAGGCCCGGCTCAATATATTTGAGAGCCTTAGGACAAAAAATTTATTTTTTTGGCCTATTATTATATACAAAGAGAAAATTTACTTAATTTTTAAAAATTTTGCGGAGTTTTTATAGTAAAAATTGTTATTTTAAAAATTTTGGACCTTTTTATATATTTTCTTATAAATAATTAGGCCTCTTAAAATATAATTCTCATATTAATAATAGCATTCGCCGTCGCACCTCAGCCCTATCCATCTGAGCCGGGGCTGGTGTATGCTCTAAGTTTGTGATTCATAAAATATAGCCACAAAACAGTTGTACTTTGCGACTACTTTACTAATAAGGTCACACACGTGTGACTATTGCTGAATATTTAAAATTTTATAAAAAGTTTCAATAATTAGCGGCAACTTATTCCCCCCATAAATTTCAAAAGTGAGACTTTTTGGATATTTACAAGATAACCCCTAAATTCAACTTTCCCTTTCTCTCCTTTCCCATTCTCTTTCAGTCTTGTTTGAATCTCTGTCTCGAGTTTTCATCTTCTCTTTCAATTTCAATATTCGCCGGCGACACAACCCCCACCTCCTCCAAAGTAGTTGAAAACAGATTTTGTTATCCGGAGAGTAGTAGTGGTGGTCGTGATGGAGGAAGATGAGCCAATTCGCGGCGGCGAGTCTGAGCCCGACCAGAGGAAATCTGGAACTCCGAGACTTTACATTAAAGAGCTTGTGATGCGAAACTTCAAATCATATGCTGGTGAACAACGCGTCGGTCCTTTCCACAAGGTTAGGGTTTTACGCTGATTAGATTTGGCTTTTCTCGAATTTCAAGCCTAGCTTCTATGTCAATTTCAGTATACTTTTCGAATTTCTGCTTTTCAATTGCTCTTGCGAATCACAATTGGTTAGGGATTTACTGAATTTGTTGAAATATCCAGAGTTTTTCTGCGGTGGTTGGACCTAATGGGAGTGGAAAGAGCAATGTCATAGATGCTATGCTCTTTGTATTTGGGAAACGAGCGAAGCAGGTACTTTTACTCTCGCGTTTTCTTTTAGTCACTGAGCTTTGTTTGAGAGTAACTCTTATGTTTCTTTTGCTGTTAGATGCGGCTCAACAAAGTTTCAGAGCTAATTCACAACTCAACTAATCACCAGAACTTGGATAGTGCTGGAGTTTCTGTACAGTTTGAAGAGATTATCGATTTGGTAAAACTTGTTGTCTGCTTTTCTATTATTGACTTTGGGAAAGCTTTCTAGTAATGTGAATTGTTTATTTTGAACTAACTCAGGATAATGGATTGTACGAAACTGTTCCTGGAAGCGATTTCATGATTACTCGGGTTGCATTCCGAGATAATTCGTCCAAGTATTATATCAATGAAAGGTCGAGCAATTTCACTGAAGTTACCAAAAAACTCAAGGGGAAAGGAGTAGATCTTGACAACAACCGTTTCTTGATTCTTCAGGTTCTCACTTCAGCCTACATATTGTTGAATTAACGTGTTTCCCCCACTAATATTGTTTCTTGAACGTTGACAGGGGGAGGTAGAACAGATATCACTCATGAAGCCGAAAGCACAAGGTCCCCACGATGAAGGTTTTCTTGAATACCTCGAGGATATCATTGGAACGAATAAATATGTTGAGAAGATAGATGAATTAAATAAGCAGTGAGTGATCTATGCATTCTACTGTTTCTTTTAAACGGCCAATGCTCAAGAACTGTATTTGAGGCGCTTTGCTTGAATAGAAAATGCAATATCACCTGCTTTCTTCTTAGGCAGATTTAGATGTAAGTGGTTCCTGATTTCTTGGATGTTATTAATATAATTGCAACTGCCTCTGAAATTTAAGGCTTGAAACCCTCAATGAAAGCCGGTCTGGAGTTGTGCAAATGGTGAAATTAGCAGAGAAAGAAAGAGACAACTTAGAGGTTTGTTGACGTTTCCCTTCTTGTATATGTTGTATATGTTGACGTATATGTGACCCGGTTTTGTTGTATATGTTGCTAATGTGCTTTTGGAACAGGGTGTGAAGGACGAGGCAGAGACTTACATGCTGAAAGAGTTATCACATCTTAAATGGCAAGAAAAGGCTACAAAAATGGCATATGAAGATACTGTAGCTAAAATTACTGAACAGAGAGAAAGCTTGCAGAATTTGGAAAATAGTCTAAACGATGAGCGGTAAGCACTACTTAATTTTCTTAAAATATCAAAGAAATTATATGAACTCATTTGTTAACAAATATCGTAACATTTCTGTTACAGAGTGAAAATGGATGAGAGTAATAAAGAGTTAAAAGAATTTGAGTCTGTGCATGAAAAACATAAGAAGAGACAAGAGGTACGTCTGAAATGCAGATGTGTTCTGCTCTCATGCTTATTACCGACGAGGCTAAATTCAATTTTCTCTCTCCTAAGTTTCAGAAATGGTTAATCACCTTATCTTCCTTTGCAATGGTTAGGTTCTTGATAATGAACTTAGAGTCTGTAAGGAGAAATTCAAAGAGTTTGAAAGGCAGGACGTAAAGCATAGGGAGGACTTGAAGCATGTGAAGCAAAAAATCAAGAAACTCGAGGATAAACTTGAGAAGGTTAATAGTTATGGAAGGATGATTGACTTTTTTTTTATGGCGCGCATATACCTTACCTGTGTTGTTATGCAGGATTCATCCAAAATCGGTGATATGACAAAGGAGTCTGGGGACTCGAGGAATCTAATACCTAAACTTCAGGAAAACATACCAAAGCTTCAGAAGTTCTTGCTAGATGAGGAGAAGGAATTGGAGGGAATCAAAGAGATAGCTAAAGGTGTGTTATGCTTTAGGATCTTATGCCCCAAATAATGATGTCCTTGTAACCCTGCCAGCTTCTTTAACAACATTCAGTAAAAAAGGACTTGGGATTGGCAACTTGTTAAACATGCTAGTACCCATCTATAACGATTAGCTTCTTGCTCAAGAGTAAGCTTGTTCAGTTAATAATTTCGGTCAATTTTGTTACAGTTGAAACTGA